ATGCTCAAGGTTATTGTTAGATTTGTCTGTGTCTACAGAGTCCACAAGTTACAGCAGCTACCTACCACTTAGAGGGCTGTGGGAAGTACATTTCTTGGTTGTGGGAATTTCTGCTGTGTAATCACAAATCTTCCAGAGGCTGTTTTGTTCCAAGATAATGCATTAAAAACAGAATTAAGGGTTTTTCTACATTTTGTGTCTGAGGCAGTGGCACCTTGTCCAGTGTTCTGTGACTAGTGAACTATCAGAGAATCCTGGTTTCTCTGAAGGCAGGGGGAAATATGTGATGGACATAAGATGATCACAGACTTCACCTGCTAGAGTGATGACTAACCTCAAAAAATTTTTTTTCCCAGAATGTTGTAAAAGCATTGCATGTGTTTGTATCAGCTTCTCTTTGGCTGACTCATTTAATTGCTGGCTTCCTAAGTCTGCCCCAAGCCCTTGTAAATAAGAGTCTGCAGATGTGTCTCAAGCTGCTGCCTCCCAAAGAACTTTCGGCTCTAGCTACAGAAGAAATACAGATAATAAAAGATACCTTTTAACTGTTTTTCACCATAAAAAAATTAAATGGACATCATCAAATTCTGTGGACTGTATGTTGGGCTCTTAAAGGAGTGATGTAACTAAAGTAAAGGACATGTGGAGATGTACTGACTGGTAAACCTAAAGATTAAATTCTGCGACCACTGGTGAAGTAGAGGAGGAAGTCTTTTTTGTGGATGTTGCTTTCTGGGAAAGAAAAAACTTCCAGGGATACTAACGATATTTATTAATATTTTCAAGTCCAACACACTGCACTTTTCAACAGTGGGGAGCAGTGTTAGAAGATTGCCTTTTTTTTTGTCAATAAATGCAAATACAAGAATATTTCTTTTTCTTATCTGTAGTTACTTGTCAGCAAAATGAATTGTTATATGTGAGGGGCAAATACAATTGAATTACTGTGATTTTAGCAGCACTGCAGTGTGTTTGTATTGTCTGAGTCATCACAAAGACTAAGTTCAGGCTGGGAACTGAATATTTCATTTTGCATGTAGGCTTTGACAGTCTTTGCTCCCTGTATAAAGCACTGTTCTGTTGTACCATTGTATGTGTGCTCATTGCTGATCTCGCTCCCCTGAAACCCCAAAGTTTGCAGAGGCGATCGAGTCAGTAGCAAGTACTGTTTTCCCTTGTTGCAGTTGGCTATTGCTGCTATCCCAGCAAATATAGAAAGGAGTTGAGTTGCCTTTTGACCACAGTACAAATGAAAGTTTTAAGGTAAAGAAATACATAGCTTTCCCTTACCTGAAACTGTAATATTGTCCAATGCCTCTAAAACATCCATAAAGAGCACTAAAGCACTTGTAGATGCCTGGCTAATGTTTCTTGCTTAGAAACATTAGAAAGTATGTTCCTTAACCTCTTGCGTATTTATCTAAGACTGGAAAACCATAAACTTCTATAGCACTTCTGCAGCTTTTTGTAAAGCATCCGTGTAAACCCAGGCTGAGTCCTCGCAGCGCAGGCGTAGGTGTAAGTTTTAGAGAAGCACCAACGCCTGTACAAACTGCGGCGGTGTCAGTGCAGCGATGAGTTGATGCCAGCTCCGGAACCCTGTTACACTGCTGAAGTGCTTTAGAGAAGTACAGGTTGGGAAGAGTATCAGGCGCTTGATCTTCCCATTAAGTGAGCTGTTGCACCTCTCTGCACGCAGGAGTAACTGGCAGGTCGGTGTAACTTCTGTGGGCAGAGTTCGACAAGCATTTCTTTCTGCAGCAATTCTGCATTCGATGCTGCCTGCCCTGATGTTCTTGCTTGTGCTGCTGCAGCTGATTGTGAAGCAACTGAGTGGCTTAGGTCAGAAATCTTGATTCAGATGAAAAATACCTCAGGCAAGGTAAGGGAAGCTCCGGTGACGGAACAGAAACAAGAGTGTGAGTTAGGCTGGCACTGCCTCTGAAAGAACCAATTGTTGAACTACAGCCCTAAAACCAAATGGAGTGAGATTCCCTCAAGTAATAAAAATTATGGTAATTTTTTTGAGTTTTATCTCCCATAATCTGTGGTCTCATCCAGACTGAACAGTGGTCAGCCCACCTCCTGCTTTACTTGACACTGGGAAGTCACTTGGGCGCAGTGATAATGCGAGGTTATAAAACAGGGATGGGCGACTGTAAATATCCACACACTGAAGTTAACATTGTGCTGAAGCTCTCATCACCTAAAACCTCACCTAGATCTTCATAAGGTTACTTGGGATTTTGGCACTTCGTGTGTGAAGTAAATAAAGGAAGGGAAGTCATATATCTGAACGATCTGACTATTTAAACAAATTTTGTGGAAGAAGGCACGTTAACTTCATCTTCATGAAAACGCACTTGGCAGTGGTACGTACCCAGTGTAGCTGCGCTTTCTGTAACTTACGAGTTCCATGTGATCCTTCTGTGTGAACCTCCTGGAAAATATTAATATGTTATTTTACAACAGATACCACAGTCATTGATCTCGTACCTTTTGTGTTTGTTTTGATAGACCTGCTGCCTTTCCTTGAAGGGACTGGATTGTTAGGATGGTGCATTTGCTTAGAAGATGAATTTGTGGGCCCTTACAGTGGGGAACCAGGATTGACTGGAGGTGATGGAGGCGGCTTTTAAAGGCAACATACAAAGTCCAAGAGATCAGACGTGGCACGGTGTCTGTGCCTGGCCAGGTGCTTAGGCTGGTACCCCATGTATACAAGGATACCCCACAAGTACTGGAGGGCAGCAGTGTCAGTCTTCACAACTAAAGGAGCCATTTCTAAAAGCAGGGATCCTCCTCACAGTAGGCAAAAGATTGAATTATTCATTGGTAGAAAGCCTGCAGCTCTGTGTCACATTCATTTTACCACTGAGTTGAAGCTTCCTTGACCTATGTTCAGTGTAATTAAAAACAAATCCCTCAGATCCAAGAATTGTTTGGAAAGGATTCTGTAATGCCAAGGCAGTGTGTATAGGCATGTTCTCCTGCCTACCCTAATTGTATGGATTTGATCTTAGGAGCTGCTGGACTCCACTTCTATTGATTTGTCACAGTCTACAAATCCTGGAGTTTCTTAACACCATGAGGAGCAGAAATGCCTTAAAGAAAATAATTGTGTGTATTTGCTGTGAATGCGTTATGCACAATTTTATTACATTTATATTAAAATAAGTTGAGATGCATTTCGCCTTACTTTAGGTTTATTTTCAGGCTGTTTTCATTTTGCCTAAATGAAACCCTTTTGATGCTCTTGCTTGTCTGGCTGGCTGTAAACCAGGTATTTAAACAAAAATAAAGAGTTGCCAGTTTTGCCAGCTGGGGATGAGAACCCGGCTGGTGATACGCGGGTTCGGGAGGCAGTTAATCCAGCTTTTATGCTTTTTTATGATTTTATGTAAAAAGAGGTTAAAAATCACATTTGGCTCTTTCTTTGTACCACTGTTTTGTTGCTGTTGTGGGAATGCAGCAAAAGGTTGCTCATAGTTTTTTTATTATTATTAGGTAAAGTCCTGCATAAATTAGGTAAAGCCCCAGATACAGTTTACTTTAGCTATGGCCATGTGATTTGTGTTGTTCAGAAAATGATAGAGTTTATCTTCCTATTGCCTTCTTTTATAAATCACACATGCAAACCACGCCTTAGCCCACTTGTGAAAAGAATCTACCACTGCCTAGCAATTTTATATATTTTACTAGCCTTGAAAGGAAACAGTAGCGAACTATGCAAATAGGAGAAACAGTAAGAGTGTAACTAGATGTAGTAGAAAAGTATGTAATGCTTTTTATTTTGTGGCAGAAGAAACGGTGATTTAAAGACAAGCGTCACAGATTTCCTATACAGTTTTTCAGCAAATAGCTTGCAATATGCTCAAACTCATAAAACATTTAATTAATTTTAAAATGCAGGAGTTATTTTAGTTGGTTTTGTCATATGTACTTATTCAGATAATTTGTTGTATTTTACACTTTCCAAAATTTCACCCTCTATTTGGAAATATCAATGATGTAACGAGTCTGTGTGTTTTGGCACAGTTGTAAATAGTATGTGTTAATGTGTTAATATTTATGATTTTTTAGTCTTACATACACAAGAGGGATTTTTGATACACTTCTTTTCATCGTGTTTCTACCACTAATCCTTAAGGACAGTGAAAACTAAGAATATGAATGCATTAATTACTGCGGGGTTGTCAAAATTGCCGTACCAGATCAGATTGCATTTTGTTTCTGCTAATAAAATGTCCCAAGTACTTCGGAGCAGCGTCATATTTACTGGAGGAGAAAAAGGAGAGGCAGGTAAACAAACTCAACAGCCCTTGGTAGGACAAGGGCAGGGTAGGGCCCCGTCTTTGATGCCGCAGTCATGGCCATTCAGTGTCCTCAGATGAGTGAGAACTGTGCCTGCCCTTGCTTCAGAGGCAATCATCAGAACTCACCCTACACTTTTTAGACAACCAGAAGATGATGTGCTCATTCCAAAAGGTTACTGCTGGTCTGTTAGAGATTGCCTTATTAAACTGTGACGACTTTACTGCACATCACCAGATTTTCTTTTCGAAATCTGAGGCTTTAGTCTTACCTGTGGGGTAAGGTGAGAGGAAGTGACTGAGCAAGGAGATGTTTCACTTCTCTCAGGAGAATGCTAACCAAGGCAGTAGTGCCCGCAGGCAGCGTCTTCTTCCCAAAGCTGCGTACACTGTAACTGAGAGGATAGAGGACATAGGAAAACGCAGTCATGATCATTTTGAGCAGGTCATTCTCAACTTTTGTATTTTGCTTTTAGCAGAACTGTCCCCGGTATGCCTGAAGTTTCGGTGAGCTCAGGTGTGCGAGTCCATGCTGCAGTCACGTGTGTTGAGCCAGGGTCTGGAAGTCCGTGTAGCACTCTGTGAAAATAAACATTTGGAAACACATCCATAGATGCATCAAATAGACTGAAATGATCATGTCTGAAATAGTACCTGTCTTACAGCTGGCTTTGGTTTCTGTTTTAGGTGTTGGAAGATAATGATTACGGTCGTGCAGTGGACTGGTGGGGATTAGGAGTTGTCATGTATGAAATGATGTGTGGAAGATTACCCTTCTACAATCAGGATCATGAGAAATTATTTGAACTGATACTAATGGAGGACATAAAATTTCCTCGAACTCTGTCTGCAGATGCAAAATCATTACTATCAGGCCTACTGATAAAGGATCCAAATAAGAGGTAAGTGCTAGGATACATCTCTAATTATACTTGGTAATGGAAAAATTAGACCAGTAGTGCTTGGTCTTCCTTAGTGAAGGACCTGTCAGTCACAGGAAGGGGCCCTGTGCAGCCATACAGTTCCAGATTTCCACTTTTCCAATACAGCAGTACTATACAAAGTGAGTTTAACAAGCCAAAGAACATAAAGTATGTGGAAGAAGGTATCTTTTCTTTTTGTACTGGGACAAAGGGAAAGCTCCCAACTGTTTTTCAGAGTATGACTTAGCCCTGAGCTGCCTGTAGTGTCTCATGGGAACTACAGCACTTTTTCTTGTAAGTGATGAGGCCAGAAGGCATATATAGGCAGCAACAGCTAAATTTTATACAGGCCCGCAAATGAATTACGTATTAGACTATGTCAGCTAGTAATTTGTCAAAGAATAAATTTACTGAGTGAAATTTAAATACAGTGTTTTGAAAGCAAATATCACCCAGCTGCTGCCCTTGCACTTTCGGAGTGGGCTTTTCCCTCTGGGATTGCTGCCTAGAGACACGTTTTCCAGTGGCCTCTGCACTGGACCAGCAGTGCCCAGTCCCCTGTGATTCTAAACCAAATCTCTGTAGATCAGTGAGATTTGTCTGTAAAGTCCTTTCTTTTCCCCAATCTCTCGGTTGTTCTTGTGAGTCTCTTTGCGTGTTTTAAGGCTGCAGCATTCTCCTGTCTGTCTGTCTCTCCACTCTAGTCCTCCTTTGCCCTCAGTTTCTTCTCAAGGAGTTTTCGGTAGTGGACATTGCTCACTGGTGTTCAGGGCAGGGCTGGTTGCTGCGTCTCTCCGAGGGATTTGCCCACACGCAGCCAGTAGGACACAAGTGGTCAGCCTTCCTGCTGCTGCCCTGCAGTGCCTGCTTAACTGCATTTACTGTATGCAGTGAAGGCAAACTGGGGCCACCCAACTAAACACGTAGAGAGTAAAGTAGAAATATGTTCCTGTAGTGACTCCTAATGCGTTTTAACCTCAAACAATCTGACCCGTCAAATCTATTAACCTTAAGTATTCAAAAGATACTTCCTTGTAATTAATCTTTGCAGACAGTAATGTTTATTACAGACTTACATTTACAAGCTTATTCATATTCCAGTTCTGGCGCTAGCTAATGCTAAATAGAGGAGAGCACAGAGGTTAACTACAACTCAGCTTTTCTTTGAGCAGCTGGATGAGAAGATTTAGAGAGAAGTCTGGAAACAGAAGGCTAAATGGGAGGCTTTGCAGAGAAAGAGGGAATTTTACAATGGCTAGTTGAGAAACAAAGAAGAATACAGCTTGGAAGTGAGAATAACTTTACACCCAGTTACTGCAAGATTCAAATAGTAGTCCAGAATATTTCTGTAATTTGGCAGCAGGGCATAAACAATATAGATTTCTTTTCTTCTTAACTTATTGCTCCTTGCCATAAATGCTTTAGAGAGGAATTTATCTTATGTAAAAGGTTGCTTTTAAAATTTGTCTTTATATGTTTAGCAGTTCGCTTTAATGAAGCACAAAGTGCTTGCGTCTCTCTTCTTGGTGACATTTAACATGTATGGGCTGCTTGTTCAGTTAGGACTGGCTCTTTATCCCTCTTGCAACTTCTCTCTGTCAGACCAGCAGGACACGCAGCCTCAGGAAGAAGTTACATGAGAGATGAGCATTTTTGAAAGTCCACGTGCTCTTGAAAGGGCAGAGCTTCCCTTCACTGGATGCGTGGCTCTTTCTCCACCAACAGCAGCAGCTCAGTGTTGCTCAGTAAACTTACTGAGTTGAATTTGACAAAAAATGGCCAGTTCTGTCTCGTTTTCTCATTGTGAGGTTATATTTCTTCCAGGTTAGTGAGCTGACTCGCCTCACAGGCATCAGTGGGAATGATGCTGTAGATGTGAGTGAGAGGGGAGAGGGATGGACAAGGGTGAGACCCTGCTCTTTTGGCAGCAGTGACCACTTCCCTGAGGTCAAATCACCTTGGGCAAGTTCACCCGAAGTAGGTGGAATTCACTTCCTAAGATGATTTACCAGACAGAGCCTGACGCTGGCAAGCTATGGGCCACAGTGAACAGTGTGGTTATTTACAATGGCCTTTAAATAACCTTCTCAGCAGGCCTACAATTTATTAATTTATACTAATTGACTCAGATTGAGACTATTTTATGGTAATTGGTTAATTGTAACAGCACCCAGATGCAACAGCAGTGAACACTGTATAAAAATGATGTGTGAGTCATTACGGATTCAGTGGCTGGCACCTCCTTGGCAAAATTTTATGTCAGCATTGTTGGGTTGGTTTTGGTTTTTAATAGTGCCAGAACGTTAGCTGGTCTTTCAAGAAAACTAAACTTTAAAATGAATGAATTATTAAAAAAGCTCAGCATGGACAGTAGTGAATACTGTAGCTGGAATAATCCAACAGAATAGACCATGGCATGAATACTTCTATTATCACATTTTCTCTTGGGATAACCTGAATTCATGTCAAGCAGGTGCGAATTATATATTAAATGGGTGAGAATTGTTCCAAGAGAGTTGAAAACAAATTATCCCTTTTCCAACTGTTGCAATAACTTAATCTCCCTTTAAGAGTAGTGCTTGTTTAATATGTTTTTTTTTTCCCTCCCACTCTCTTTAGACTTGGTGGAGGCCCAGATGATGCAAAAGAAATTATGCGTCATAGTTTCTTTGCTGGAGTAAACTGGCAAGATGTGTATGATAAAAAGGTATGTCTTTATGTGGCGTTGAATAACCTGGCTTCTGCAAGGTGGTTTCAACTGATAGGTGTGGGGCTGCTGCTCTCAGAAGTTAGTTGTGTTTTCCTTTGCAACTTTTTGCATTAATACAAGTGAATAATTTTTCTGAACTGTGAGTACTTACTTAATCTTTTGATTTTCTTCAATAATTTCTCAGTGGACCAAAAATAAATGTTGCAAGCCAACCAAAACTCAGCAAGGATTTTTCTTTTATTATGTAGATGGCCAAATCTTTTCCTTTCCATTTTTCTTCCTGAGCCTTCAGGAGAAAAGTAGGTGTATGGCTCAACATAATGTGAGGAAATGCAACGGAAGCTTATCCTGAATTGTCTTTTTATTTCTACCTTTTATTGAAAAGTTGTTTTATAGAAATAAGGATATGAAGTTATCGGAAGGGCCTTTTAGCAAAATTCTACTTTCCGATTGCTTGTGTTTAAGTAGAAGTCGTTTTCAAACTTATTTTTAAAGAGATATCTAAAAAAATTAAAATAGCACTGAAACACTGAGCCAAAACAGCTTGTGGAGGAAGTGAATACTGGGAATTCAATTTGAACAGTTTTCTCTAAACTCTGTCCTGTTCCTGTAATGATCAATACTTTGGGGGCTGGTTTTAGAAAACAAATTTATCTTACTCAGTAGTGAAACTCAATTTGACTTAAGTTGTTTTATATACAGAAGCTGATTTTATCTCAGTACTTGTGTAAGAATTTACGTGTTGCTGTAAACCCCTTCTATTCTGATAAAGTCTTTTTTTCTTCCAACTGTTTTACATTGTTAATCTGTCAGTTGAGCTGTGTAATTTTAAAAGATAGATTTTTTCTCTTTTTTTTCCCCGCTTTGTTCAAATAAAAGGAAAATGAAAGACATACGAATGAGCAGAATATGTTTATGCTACAATGTCAATGATACAAACTGTTTTATCAGTTGTTGTTGAACTGGAATTTTAAAAATGTGTGGTTGCTGGTGTGGTACTTCTCTGACAAATACCAGAATCGAAATAAGAGCCTGTATATGATGATACAAAATATGGTACTCTGAAGTTACTTGGTACAAGTGTGATTTTTTCCCTGGCAGTAACATGAGTTTTCAAGAAACTCTAAAGTAAATAATCAGAGCAAGTACATTAATCAGGTTAATTTGTGAGTTCAACCACTGGTTGATTGTGTAAGGGCACTGTAGAGAAGCACTTTGAGGATAAAATCTAAAATTACAAGTTGAAGACCTTTATGGGATTTTAAAAAAAAAATCACTAAAATTGATTGGATTGCAGTGTGCTAGGAGTGAGTGAGAAAGAAAAAGCTGGTACATTACCCTTACTCTGTTGAAAAAGATTTCTTAATTATTTTACATTAGAAAGAGAGCTCTCAATTCTACGTTGTTCAACATCATATTTAGTTAAGAAAATACAGATACTCTCAATTTTTAAGCATACACTTTGACTCTTTATGAATGAACATGGCAAATGCCTTTCAGCCAAGATCCTATTCTGAGCTATTAAAATAAAAAGAGGTACTTTGCAAGTGTAAATAATGTATCTATGTAAATTCATATAAATAAATAAATGCAGGTATTTTGCTTTTATGCTCATGGAGGTGGATATAGCTTATTGGAGTATTATAACTGGAAAAGTGGTAGTCATTCATTCCTTACTCTGTCCACTGTTGTTTGAGAAACTAAATTTGCCAGTAGAAAAATAAATTGAATTTTCTCAGTTGAACAGTTAACTTCAAGGATCATAAGAATTGCTTTTGTGCATTATGGGCACACAACATGTTCTTTATGGAAAAATAGCATATGAAAATGGCTTTGGCAGTATGTTTTTCTGTTGAATTGAGAAAATAGTTTTGTTTCTATTACAAAGCCATTTATCTGGTTGGTCAAAATATCCAGTTGTTCCTTCTGCACGCACAGTCTTAGCAGTTCTGAAGTTTGTAGGGTGTAACAGTGGCCTGAAATATAAACCTTAAACATAATAATGAGGTTAATGGGTTTTCTCCGAGTATGTTTATTAGAATGCTTACATGAGTATTTTTGAGGTTTTGATATTCTAAAATAACCCAAGAGGAATGTGCATCAAACAAATTTGATTTTCAGATAGACTTATTCTATACTTGCTTCTCTTGTTGTTTATTATTAGAAGTATAGTCTTCAGCAGCAGGGTCACTTGATGAAATTGATATAATTATTTGTATAGTAGAAATATTTGACAGTATTCTTGCCTGAGGTTTATGCACCATGAAACTGTAATTTTCTGGCTGCATTTCAGGAGTTTGTGTCTGTTAGCAATGTAATAACTGAAGTTCACTTTCAGAGTAGTGGAAACCAAAAAATGGTGTCTATTCTAAGCAATTGCTGGGGGACAGTTTTGTACACGTGCATGCTGTGCTCCCGTGCTGCCGATTTTATCTTTTTTACTGGAGATGAGGTGCATCTCTGCACTTTGTGGATTTTCACTTTCCTGGTGTGATTAGAGCCAGAATTATATATCGGTAACCTTCAGAGTATTTCGTGCAGCCAACAGAGGCTCCGTCAGGTCAAATGGATCCACATGGTCAAATGGAATTATTAGCTCTGGTACTGCTAACTAGTTAAACCCATTTGGTACTGTGCAGGATTAGTAAAATGTTGTATGGCACACTGGAGCAGAAAAGGTCATTGCCTTTAAATGAAAAATGTATAGTAGTTAGCATTTGTGATCAGATGTATTTATTTTTGGCAGAAAAAACATGAGGGCATATGAAAGAGAGCAGCCTGTGCCAGGTTCTTCCTGTGATCATCTCAGCCCTGATGAGTTTTTATCTCTGTGCCTGAGTACGAGAAATTGAATAGTTTGGCAAACTCTGAAGACTTCAAAAGCCCATATACTTCTAAATAAAATATTTGTTTTATTTTTAGCTAGAATTGGGAAGCTTTTTCAAATTTCTCTGTTCCACATCTAAGAATTGTTATAGCATATTTTTATTTGGGTCGCAGAAATGTTCCTAAGTTGTTGGATGTTCTTTTTAGGGTCTCTCACTGAACAAAAACCACATGGATGTTAATTTAAAGGTAGAAATTTGGGTATATCTTCTGGCTCGCAGCTTGAAGCTCGCAGCTTGAAGCACTCAGGTAGCCTCACGGCAAAGGAGATCCAGACCTTTTAGCAAAGCCTGGGTTTCCTCCTGCACGTAATATGGATGAAGGTAGAAAGACACCATATGGGAATTTGAACTGAGCTACATATACCTCCCTCTGATTTCTGAGAAGACCTGAAGCAAATGAGGGAGTGCTAACAAATCGATTTGTTAGTGCTGGGAAGGGAGCAGGGGCAAGCGGCAGTGGTGGTCGGGGCTGGGGTGTCTGAGGTCGCTGCAGGCGCAGCGCTTGTGAAGGTGCTGCCGGGGCTCTTTGTGGGGGCAGCGACTTTCAGCCTGAAGCCTGGCAGCTGCGAGAAGCTGTTCCTTGCCCCTCGGCTGTGACTGCCTTTGCTTTACTTAAGACGGAGCAACCGATGATAATGAAATCCCATGATTGAAGCCCAGGGTTCAGGCCTGGTAAAATGCTATGTAACTATAAGCTTAAATGCGTGTTTCAGTACTTTTGTGTATCAGATTTTAAGGGACAGGGCAGGAGGGAAATAGGAAAAGACCAACATCTGGTTTTAGGCTGCTGCCATTTGGGTCATACTATTTTTGTACAATTATCTGCAGTGCAACACAGCCCGTAGGAACAGCTCTTGTTCCTTGTTTCTGTGTTGTTGGCATGTGAAGTAGCTAAAAGATCGGGAAACTGCTAACCAGTGATACATGAAACAACAGGGGCAGACCTAGAGGTTTGCCCCAGCTGCTTCAATTTCTAGTGAGGAAAATGTGCAAAAGAGTGTCTGATTCTTAAACTTCAGTTGTTGCTTGTAATCCTGGGGGTTGTGGGTTTTTTCTGTCTGTGTTATCAGCATTGGAAAATGCTGATGAGTTTGTCCGTGGGGAAAAAATCCCCACAAACTCTGCTGAAGCCTGCCTTCCTGTGCATTTGTGTTGTGTGTCCTTCCACCGCTGAAATCCCAGCTCTTCCTCCTACCCCAGCCTAGGGGAGGCTGAGCAGGGGCCACGGCGGATTTCCAGCTCCTCCTGATCAGGCAGCTGGTGTGGGGCTGCATCAGTTCCTACAGGAAAACTTCCTGACTCCACAGGTCACTGTCTTACCCTCAGTGGAAACTGCTTTGGGAGGGATGGACAGGGATGTATCTCTTCTGTAAACTAGATGAAGTAATTCTGTGAGAAGTGTTCGTCTTTCCTCTGTCATGGTGCGTTTGCCCAGCCGTTCAGAATTTATTAGGGAGGGACACACAGACCTGACAGTGTGTATACTCTCATCAGCTCCTGTTACTTTTGGTAACTGAGCTAATACCAGAAAAAGGACATAAATTACTTGAAGGAAAGGAAAATCGTTGTTTTAAAGGACTTACACCATATATTTAATTAAAATATTATTGACGAAGTTCTGTTAAAAGACTAAACTGTCTTGTTTGTATCTCTGCATGATTTTTGGGGTCACTAAGCTCTTGCTTTGATGGGAGCTTAGAAGATGTATAAATGGAGGAACATGTATTAACAGTTATAAATCAGAAAAATAGAAAATTTTGAGACAAACTTTACTAGTGTCCTTTTGAAATATTTTATTGTGCTATTTTGTAAGTTAATGAGTTTCAGTTTATGTTTACTTGGAACATCATTTTGGAAATGAGCTACTTTGTTAATACAACCCTTTTGTTTTTGAGTTGAGAAATCTGTGAATTGTGATATGTTTTCAGTACTTCCAGCTGGGCATGCTTGTGATGAAATACAAAGGTATATTTCAGTCATGCAACCTTATTCTCTTCTCATGCCGTAATTTATTTTTTTCTGCCATTCCAATTTGGCTAATCAGTCACTTCTGTTCTATTCTTGAAAATAACAATTTGCAGTTTTGGTTCTCCAGGAAAGTTTAAGGTAGATGGAAGTTTGATTTCTCAACATCAAATCAGGAACATTTAATTGCCAATACTTAAATAACTTCTATAGTCAGAAAGAGTTTTAACCTTGACACCATTTTTGACACGTCAGACTTAAATAATAAACTAGATGGAAATTGTTGAAACACAACACATGGCAATACAAGGTATTATTGAAATACCTGTTTTGTAGATATTTTTATAATTTTTCAAAATACTTCAGTTGTGAGAAAATCAGAATTTGTCTCATACATCATAATTTATTAGTAAAGAAGAGACATATATGTTGGGATGTGGCAGTGATTTTTTTTTTTTCTAGTCGGACAACCTAGAATGTCAAACTGAAGTTGAACTCTAAGTAAGATTCAAATAATCATTCTTTTTGAATAAAACCTGAAATTGAACAGCAGTGCTTACTCCTTAGTATTTATATGGTATGTAAAGAATTAATGTGTTTGGGAGTTCTGAGATTATAATCTAGTTATCTTGTTTATTTAAATGAATAATTCAGTGGGGATGGTGTGTAGCAGCTCCTCTTACTCCTTTCACGCTTGATTTCAGAGTACTATTCAGCTGCAGTCTGTTGGTGGATGAGATTCTTATGATAGTGCTAATTTTAAATTCATTGGAAGGAAAATTCCCTTTAAATTAAAAGGAAAAGGAAGATCAGATTGGTGTTTGTAAGCATCACATTTTTCATTTGGCAGATCGAGTGCATCACAGTTACTTTGAAGCAGCTTCAGCCACTTCCTATACATCTCCAAGACAAATGACTCCTGTCAGATTATCTTTGAGCAAATAACGTTACTTGTTTTCTCTCACATGGAAGTGTTTCTGTAGCTGTTTAGTGAGCGTGAGAAAGCTCAAGGTGTAGGAGAGAGCCTCTCTGTTCTTCTTTATGTCATGGTAAGAGTAGGGTGCTGTACCTGCCCCTGTCCTTCCCCTGAGAGGTGGGTGGCAGGTTTCCAAGGTCTTGAACTGTGGAAAAACGGGTTTCTCACACACTGCTCTCGATGGGTGCCAAATGGAAATGTCATTCACTGGAGGTACTAAGGACACTAAGAATTTGATATTGTTTCTATTGTTGTTTCCAACACCAAGCCTTGGATGTGGCCGAGACAGGTTCATCTTGACAGATGGGTGTTAAATTGGATGTTTTTCTTGAACATCAACTCTTACAGTTACTTAACACACACTTAGTTTAGACTTTTATTTCTTTATTTGTACACATGCATACATACATATCTGTGTATGTGTGTGATATGCATAAAAGCAGAAAAATCTGTATTTCTGGCCCTTAGAGTACATTGTTGGGTGCTGGCAGTACAGTTTCTCCTGTCTGGTTTTGAAAGTGCTCTGCCTGAATTTGCACAGACTGCTGGAGGAGGAAAATCGTCCCACACTGAAGCTTGGCAGCTGCGACCGAGCAGCACAGTTCTCTCGCAGACAGACGAGGCCTGTGCTCAACAAAAGATCGTCGTATTCTTTTCGGACACAGGTTGTGGAATGTACCTTGCAGTGCTCATGTTACCCTTGGGCTTTCTGACTTTTCAGGTCAGAAGCGTGGAAGAGCTGTGGCAATAGTGGCTGGATACATTTCCTCGTGGAAATGCTGCTGGCTGTAGAGTGGCATCTTCATGTTAGGATCATTAGAGCTGCAGTTAGTGTTGGGCAATTTGTTTTTTGTCGTTAAACCTCAGTGTCAGTCTCCCTTGGGGGAGGTATGGAGAACTTGTTATCAGGCTCTGTATCAATCTAAGTGGTTACCTCTGCAGCAGTTGCACCCTATTTGTCTTTCCTATGGTTTCATTACAGCTGAAATTTGTGGAGATTTTTATTTCTTTTTTTGATGATTAATGAACAAAGGTGGCACCCCTCCAGGAAGATGAGTGCCAAGTTTCTCTAGCATGGCCTGGCATGTTGGTGACATGACTTACAAAATCTGTCTTGAACGGTTCTGTCCCCAGTTTCCTGAACGTGGTGTTGAGGGACCGTGTCCCTCTGCATACGCTTGTGTGCATCGTTTATCCTGTGCTCTGTGCTTCTGCTTTGTCTGAAGGTTGTTAGGAAGGGATTTCTTTCTGTGTTTCTCTCATTTATTTCTGGAGGTGATGCCTGAGCTCTGTGTGCCTGTTCCTCATTTCTTGGCAAGAATTATTTTAGAGGTGCTCCCATTGGGACGGGGAAGGTACGACTTGCAAGGATCTCAACGATTATATGAAGGTTTTTCTTGGGGAAGGTGTACACTTGGTGGCACATCAGGAGTCTGGAGTGAGATGTCTGCAAGACTTTAGCTGCTACTGGTTTGTCGTAGGTGGGGTAGAGCAGATCGAAAGGAGCGATCGCCGGTTCTGGCCGTCCTCACGGCTGTGCTGGTGTGAATGATGCTGTGAGAGATGGAAGCAAAGTGTATGGAAAGAAGTAAGAAACCTTCCTGCTGCTGCTCTCTGGGTTGTATCAGTGAGTCTTAATCTCAGCTGCTATTTCCTCTTTTCTGGAGGCTGTGGGGGAGGGGGGATGTATGGAGGGGACAGCTTGTATCAATACCAGCCTAAACTGTTGTGGAGCCACATGGCAGCGCAGTTTGTCTTTGCAGAAGCTGAAGTTTCAGACCTCTTTTAATGCCCAGGACAGGAGAGATGCTGCTGCAAGACAGAATAATTCTAAAACACCAGTGGCATAAATTTGCACCAGGTTCGTCGCTCGTGGTTGCAGCCTGGAGTTTCTTGTGTTTACTTGTTTCGCTTCCCCAGACAGTTAAACTTCTGCCCTAACTGGAAGTTTCATCAGCTGACTTACTGGAGGTTATTGATAAGCACTTTCTGTTAAGCCTAGTTACTGAGCATCAGATCAGAGCACCAACTTCCACCCATCACCCCAAAATGTTGAATTTTGGTTTGATGGTGCTTTTCATACCTCATTGAAATGGTTATTTGTTCCTTAAGAGGCATTTAGTACTGTGCTTCTCTTCCTAAAATAAAGTTTTTGACGTATTTTCATAACCATTACTATTACATATAGATGGAGAGAACAAGGGTGTGATCTAAAGGCGTTAGAAAAAAAGCATTAATATTAATAATTTTCTGGATAGAGATCTATTGTGAAGAGCATCTTTTTGAGAGCTGCCTTTCTTTGGCTGATTGTGCAGCACTACAAACTTACACAGTCTAGTCCTCATAGGGCAGGCTAGATTTTTTTTGGTTTTTGATTGGCTCTAGTTGTGTATTGTGTAGTGTCCTTTGGTTATTAGCACTGCTTCTTCTAGTATGCACCAGTTCATGCAGATCTCTCCAAGCTACTAGAAAAAAAACAAGTCTTGTGCAACAAACATAGTAAAATTAACATCAGAAAGAACAGTTTCTGCAGTGTGCGTCGTTTCTCGTAGATTGTGTCCAGAGCATTGGTAAGGGGAGGGGATTTAACAGCAGTTCTGCTTCCTTTGCTCTGTGAGGAAATGAACAAACTAATTGTTTGGTGTTGGTGTTCTGGAGCCAAGGAGAGGGAAAACATGAAACTGGTGAAACCGGCCCTGAAGCTCTGATAGTATCAGTGAGCTATAATGTAACCTGTTCCGTAGAAAGGGAGTTGAGACTCTGTCTCCAGGGTGCGTGTTTTAAATTGCTCATAAGGAGACAACAGCGATGGACTCCTGGTACGACCCCCCCCGCCCCCCGCCATTTGCAATATCACACCTGCTAAACTGCTGTGTCCTTGTGGGCTGGCACCATGCTGTGTGGTATTCTGTGCTGAAGTGCCTCCCAGCCAAAATCCTTGGCCCACAGGTGGCTGTTTGGAGGAGGTGGGTGGCCTGGCTGGTTCACCCCAGGGGCAGGGACATCCTGCCTGTGAGCAAGCGCTGGCGATTTGCGACTGGAAGTGCTGCGGGGTGCTGCGAAAGCAGGAGGCGGGGTTAGACCCAGCAACTCACTTAAGCATGAACTGGCCTTTTTGCAAGTACAACATTTATTTTCCCATCCACATAATTTCTTCTACAGGTAAGTTCGAGTGTTAGGCCTTAAACCTGAGCTTACTGTGCTCTCTGTGTAGTTGTCTTTGCGTTTCTTGTTTATACCGCCCAGTCGTGGTCAAGTACCTAGAAGTGCCTTTGCCTGACATCCGTGTGGGTAATTAGAATGGCCTGAAGAGTTTTTAGCTAATTATCTTTATGCAGCTCAACTTACCTGCAAGTCATGTGATAGCAATACTTGGAATTTAGCCATGTTGTGCTATTATCTAGGTTTGGAACTAGTATTTTTGGGATTGACTGTATTGGCTTCTGTCTCTTACTAGAAGTTAGAGACTCAGCTGCCTCTCTGCAGAGCTACTCATTTGATCTGGAGGGTAGGGGAAAAGAACTTAATTGTTTTTCTGGTAGTAATTTTTCTGCTTTAAGTATAGTAATTTCATTTTGTTTCTTGGTCCCTTGCAGCTTGTACCTCCTTTTAAACCTCAAGTGACATCTGAGACAGACACCAGGTATTTTGATGAAGAATTTACAGCTCAGACTATTACAATAACGCCGCCTGAAAAATGTAAGTCAGAAATTATGTGTAAGCATAACTTAAAAGTAATTTATAATAAAGCACTGTGTGAGTTTTTTTCTGTTTGAATAGAAAAGCTATTCTCACTGTTGATGTTAAAAGTCTTCATTTGGAAGTGTGTGAGAGTAACTCTCAATGACAGTGTTCTTTTAAAGAAAGAGTAATTACAAAACTTAGAATATTAAATCGCTCCATGTTGGTTTTGGGGGGCATTTTTGATGTGGTTTTGTTTCTTTAGGGTTTTGGGGTTTTGGTTTTGTTCTATTTTCTTTTTAAATAAGAGGAAACATCAGCTTCAAATGTTTGTTGGGTGGCAATCAAGGTCCCAGTTTAGCAAAGTACTTGGAGCATGGACCCTGCTTTAAGCATGTGGACACTGCTACTGGCTTCATTCAGTGGATTGCCTAAGTTTAGTGGGTTAGGCATATTTTAAAATACTTTAAAGACCAAAACAAACAAACAAAAACTACTTGAAGCATACCATATCATGGCCTAAGCTGGAAGGGACCTTAGAGATCATTTTAATCCAGCCTCCCTGCTGCCAGGGACGCCACCTCTCGACTAGATCAGGCAACACATGGGGACCGAACAGGAATCAAACCCGCGACCTTAGCGTTGTTAGTGCCAAGCTCAACTGACTGAGCTAACCGGCCCCCTGAAATTTCCTATCAAGTCCTGTGCTTCAGCAGAGCTCTTAAAGAAGTTACTAATATAGATGTAACTGCTGTGCTGGACATTGCACAGGGTTTCTTTGCTGGGGTAAATGTAATTTCACCACAGTTTCCATTTTTGTCATCTTCTGCTACACACACGAGAACCATGATCTGATCAGCCAAGCTAGGGCTTAACAGTTACTTACCCAGCCAGAGCAGTTAAAATCTTGCTGCCAAGTTCTTAAATGGATATCCTTTGTTAAGGGAGATTTTTAATTTTTATTATAAATTGAAGGATGGGGAAAGAGGATGAAAAAGGTAGACAATAAAGCCAGCGTATACTTAAGGTTGATCACCCTTTCGTAGAGCAGGCTCATTTTTTGGTGTTTTAGGATTCCCAGGTTTAGCCACAGTTTTCTGGTGCTGTGTAGAACTGCGGTATTTTATGGATCTTGTATTTTTAGTGTTTGAACACAGTCATTTAACTGATTTTAAGTCTTCCCGCTGTGGAAAAAAACCCCTCCTTCTCCTATCTATCTTGATAAGAATTTGTTCATATTTGTAATCTGAACAAATTTTGCGAAATTTGGGATTAACTTGGAGTCTGTTGATTGAATACTATGATATGCTGGTCTCTTGAAACTCCACATACACGATGAGAATGGCTATTTATCAATCGGAAGTCGAAGCACTGCAAAATATGTGGATGATACCAAGACCAGCTTTAAATTCATTGAATTCGGAGCAGGTGATCAGTACCAGGACAGGGAAACAACTTCCCTGTACCTAAAGCTCCTCCTCTGCTGATGGTCCGGCTGCTGTGGTGTGAAACTTGGCACAGGCTGCAACTCCCCCCAGTCACAAGAGTAACAAAGAGGGGTGAGGCCCAGCAGCAGCGCAGAGATGTGGGATGCCTTCCCCAAGAACCAGTGGAGCCACCTTACCTGGCGTTGCCATGAGTAGCGTTGCCGGCCACACAGAAGTGAATTTTTGCTTGCACCAGGCGGATCTGGAAAAACTACTGCTGTTTTTAGTGAACTGCAGTGGACCAAGGGCCACGTGGTGTTTTCCCTTTCATAGGTCTTGCAACAGGAAGTGATTTTAAATTATTTTCCTTTTAAAATCTACAAGTAATTGTATTATCTACAATAGAGTATCACCTCTGCTTGGTGTGATTATGCAAATGGAGATTAAAAATGTGTTTTAGCAATGGAGGGTTGGTTACTGTCGAACTAAAGATCTTCCATAGTTAGAGAAATAATAACTTTTAGGCCAGTTATTTAGATATCAAAGTTTTACAAATCACTCTATGGGATGTATTGAACCTGTATCGTATATCTACAGTAATCAAACTGGTAGCAAAACAAACAGGCTCTGTACATTAACCTAATTTAAATAGAATCATAGAATCATAGAACGGATAGGCTGGAAGGGACCTTAGAGATCATCTAGTCCAAGCTCCCTGTTTTGGGCAGGGACGCCACCTCTCGACTAGACCAGGCAACACATGGGGACCGAGTGGGAATTGAACCCGCGACCTCAGTGTTGGTCATTGTTGCCAGCACCGCGCTCAAACTAGAGCTAACTGGCCCCCTAACAGACAGTGTAGAAGGGAGATTCTGTTTGAAGTTACAGAACTGAGAGGCACTGTTGAAGTCAAGAAGCCGAATCACAGCAATTGCTCAAACCTACATTAACTCAAGTTTTTATATGTAGAATATATGAAGATACAAAAGATACGTAATTCTGACAGGTTGCATATACATACCATGTTAGAATAACAGTTTCAGTAGGAGTCTTTAAGGATAAGCACTGTTAAAAAATCCGTGTGAGAATGTAGATCCAAATTCTCAGAGTTAGGCAACATCTGGTGCCTGGTTTCCATTGGCAGTGCTGCAGGAATTATGTAAATAAAAATATTTATGAACTTGACTTAGTCCGCATTTCCTCTGATCCCAGTAAATACTGTAAAAATAAATAGTTTACTAAAAAAATAATATGTAAGAGTTGAAACATATCAAATTGTTCATTTTGTAGCTGTTTTTTCCTTTTAACTCTCTTCAAAATGGAGGAATGTTTAAATACATCTACGGTTAGATTATAATTTCCTGAACTCAATTTAAGAGTGGTTTCAATCAGCAGTCAGCTTCTGTGCTACCAGCAGCAAGATGTGCTGGAGTGTTCTGGTTAGCCTAGAAGGGGCAGTAGCGATTGAAGTCGTCAGGTGACAGTCGCAATAAACCAAACCCACCCACCCACCCTGAAATCAGTGGTGGCTAATGGAAGGGATCTCCTTCCTGAGGCGCTGTTCCACTCTGTGGGCGTAAGCTTCCACGACTGAAGTCTTGCTTTATTTAACTTGAGCCTTTAACTTCAGCGTTGCTCCCTGAAAGATGTACCACGTATCAGGCAGCTATCAGAATTTCATTGCGAGTTTAATGACATCTTGAACTTCTCCCTTAACGCAGATGACGAGGACGGTATGGACTGCATGGACAATGAGAGGCGGCCGCATTTCCCCCAGTTTTCCTACTCTGCAAGTGGACGAGAATAACTTTTTTGTTCTGCTGCTTCACTGTCATCTTAGGTTTATCACTGAAAATGATTCCTGAACATCACCACCAGTACTAGATGCTACTTAAGATAGCAGGGGCACTTTCAGAGACCATTCCAAATTGAACGAGTTTCTTTCCCAAACCTACCTAAAGTCCATTTTGGTTTTGCATGAAATAGGAGATTTTTCTGTACTACGCTCTCCTGCTCTTGCTGCCGCCCACAGTCTCAGTCTAATAGCAACGTCAAGAAGTTACTAACAGTTTCTCTGAAGGTAGATGACTCGACTTCCGCATTGTACGCTCTGTGCACAAGCGGTCATCTATTTTGTCCTCACAGTGGAGGCTAAACAAAAAACGTGCTGGTCCAACTTAACTTACTCCAGAAGACGAATCAATATTGTAATTGGTCTAAAACGACTAGTCTATAGCATTTTCGTGCATCTGTTTGTGCTGGTTACAACAAGGAACCATACGGGGTGGTGATGTACATGTGCAAGGTTTTCGTTAGGCATATCATTACTTGAAGCAGGTCTCTGTCATTACCATCTGGCTGGAATTTGATTGGGAAATGTTTGAGAGAAAGACTTAAACTGTTGATATATATAAATATATATATATTATTTTTTAATTACTGTTGGATACTACAGAAGAAGCAGAAGGGCTGGGCTCACCCAGCCTGCCACTTAGAACTTCCAGGTTCATGTGCAATCATGGAGAATCGAACATTATACATGCAAGAAATGAAGGCATAAAAGCAGCAGCTGAAGTTGTTTAAGGGGGTCTTATAATTTGCACCAGATAACATCTTTCTCATGCTTTTCTTTGTCTTTCATCACCTCTGATGGCTGAAGAATGTAGACAGGCATAATGGTATTGCTTCTCACCAAAATGTGTGCACCAAGGTAAACAGGTGTTTGCCTTACTCGTTTTTGAGTTTGTGAATTAGCTTTTTCTCCAGGTGTTTGACTATTCTTTTTCGTTTCTTTTCTATTTCTTTGTTTTTGTTTTTTTTTTTTTTTTGGTTGTACTGCGGTAGTATTTATTTTTAGGTATAAGGATTGTATGTGTCGTGTTCGCAAATGCTGCTACATCTTAGATAGAACAGGCTTCTAGCAGTTAATTTTGTAATATATGGAAGGACTGTACAAGCTGAAGGGAACAATGCACTTTTCTCCCACGTGGAAATTTTAACAAGGCTCTGAAATTGTACCTATTGCTTAGAATCAGACTTTTGTAAATGAAGTTTTGTCTCTTAATTGTTTGGCAACAGAGGTGAGGAATTCAACCTTTGTGCGCCAAAGGGTTAAAAACAGACAAAAAAGCTACATCTTGTGCTGCATTGAGGATAAATGTAATGTAAGAGCCTCGCATCACAGTAGAAAATTTGTTCCAGATGAAGAAATTGCATTTGAACAACGAGACCACAGTGATTACAAGAAAAGCACTTTATTTGAATAATTAAAATAGTAACTTTCTGAGATCAGCTGTTCTCAAGGAAGGTTTGCCCTCAGCCAAAAGAGTCCCGAAACCCAGTGCGTTACGTGTAACCGTGGTACCTGATTGACTGAACGTAAAACGTCACAAGAAACGCTCCACTGATAGGAAGAGGTCTTTCCATTTCCGAAGATCTGTATCTAACAGAATATGTCCATAAACTTTAGCTTTGATCTTCAGCAATGATAATCTTAATATTAAACCCTTTGGTGCTAGGAGTCGGGACACCCCGCAGTGCAGCGGTAGCGCGTGCGCGTGCCCTCGCTAGCGACATCTGAAAACCCTGACTCCATGGGATTATCATTGGAAGTCGCGTCTCCGCATTCGGATCTCGTTAGCTCCCGCAAAGACTGTGACGTCGCAGTGTTGCTGATCGTGTTGTGTGAATGAGTAGATGAGCCTGGAAGGAGAGAAGTCCCTACGCGGATGCAGACAGTTGAGTGCCCGGCACGGAGCCCACTGCTGGCAGTGCGTGTGCTGGGACGGTCAAGGGGTCCATGGGCATTTTAGCAAGGCAGCTACAGGTGCAGGCAGATTCAGACAATTTTTCATGTTTTGTGTTTTATCTTTAGTAATGGATGGATAATCAGTCAGAAATATATCATGATGTATAGTGTGACTGCATAGGATCTCCTTCTGTCACCTGGTAACACTAAACACGTGTCGAGCTTATCCCTCTATGGAGAGAGGAGCACAGCAAACGCGTGGCAGCTCTGTTCCGCGCCCGTAGCGTAGAGGTGTCTGCACTGACACAGTGAGCGAGTGAACGAGTGACTGAAATAAACGAGTTCTTAATAGATGGGCATTAATTAGTTCTCTGCAAAGGCCTCGTACTTACAGACTAAAACCATAGTGATTTCAAAATCTGTGATAAATGCCTGTGTTTTTTTCCCCCTATGCTTTCAGCTTGTGGTAGCAGTAAGTTTCTTGGCACAGGGCACCTCTAGCTGGCGACTACCCGGTGCCGTGCCTGAGGCCAGCCGCTCCTCGCGTGCGGGAGAAGCCCCGTGGTGAGCTCGCTGTCGCGTAGCTGGTTAGAACACAGTTTGCGGTAGATTCCTATTAGTGAATTATTGAAAACTTTTTCGGACTTGCTTTTGCATCGTGTCACCTGCCTTCCAAAACTGATCACTGATCAGGATAATGTTGTGGAGAGAGTCAGTGGCTGCTTTGTGCTGCCCGAGGTTGGGGGATTCTCTCTCTTGGCTGTGTTAGGAACAGACGAAAGACAAGCAGGTGAGCGGTGCCGAGAGAAACTTTTGAAGCTCTTCTTTTGTTGGTCGTGGTTGGATTTGGCCAGGAGGTGGTGGCTGGTTCCCTTGGTGAGCCTTCTGAGTACAGTACGTTTCAGACTTCAACTCCAGCTTGTACTGACTTCCATGACATCATCCAGTATGCCCTCTTGTACTGCAGCCATCTCGGGGGAAATAGGTCATTTCTGTTTGGGTTTTGGCAGTTTTGCACACAGCTTCGCTTTCCACACTAACCCATCTTCCAGTACATTCCTGTTGCTTAAAGAACATTTATTCCAGTATTGTTTTATGGGGTTTTTTTCCATCTTTACTTGCGGCTTCTTAAAGCTGACTGTTCTTGCAGGGGCCATGTGCTTCTCTTAGAGTACAAAAGTAAGGTCTTTCCTTACTAACTGCAGGGTCTATATATTACACCTCAATGTACACACTTTGCTGCTACTGTTTGTACTGTCTACAGTAGAATTTCCTTATCTTGCTCCTGGTAGTGCATTACAGGCAAGCATGAAATGTAAAGTATTTATTTAAATAAAAACCTCTAAATTGGTAATTGAATTACCTCCCTGTAGCTTTAGAGTTTGTGACATTTCTTGACCTTGCTAGTTCTTTCATTAGATCCATGCAAGATCTAGTCATATGGTTAAGGACATTAAACAGACACGACTACGAACCCAAGAAACCGTATTACTGTTGGTCATACTTAAACTGTTGATTTCCTTAAGTATATGACCCACAAGGATGTGAAATAACTACAAGAAACTGTTTTTGTACACTGTACATCCTTAGTATTTTTACACGTATATGATAGGGATGCACATTATTTTCCTTCGTACAGACAGCTTAAATAAAGCACTATGTCAATCTGCTACTTCTGTGTTTTTTAATGCTAATTTGTTCTGGAGGTTTGTAAATATATATATATATATGTTCAAGCTTGCCACAAAGGACGTATTTTTTTATATCTGCACATTACTATTAAATACCTTAGAGGATAAAACTCCTAAGTTGTTCTGTGTCAGAGAAAGAAAAACTGAAATGAGAAGGCTATATTGCAGATTACAAAAGATTTCTCAAGTTTTGGGTTGAATATTTACTTCATATTTTAAAGTAATTTTATATAGGTTAGATGTTTCAATCCTGAAATGCACAAAGAATTTACTTAATTTCTTCTTACAAGAAAATGTACATCGTTATTTTTTTATCACTGTATATATAATGTTCTGTGCATGTTAAGTTACGAGTTTTACTTGCTGTGAAGTCCTAGTGATAACTGTAACTCGCTGTGACATATTTCGAATACTGGGTGATCAGTTTCAGCTTGTAAATTATTAAGTTACAGTATTGTCAAAAAAAAGAGTTTTTATGACTAAGCAAGATGTATCTGTGCTTTGGACCGAGGCTGTTTCCATACAGGTGGTTCACGTTAACTCTATGAGGTGTCTGTCGCTTGTAAAAGCAGATCTGGGTTGCACTTTTCAAGTCATGATTATGCAGGGCTGCGTTTCTGTCAGAACACCCAGGGCGTTAGTGATCTCTCATCTGATGAAAGTCACATCCCACAGTCAGGTAATGTGTTGTTGGGGTAAGGAGAGGAAAGAGCAGGAAGGTGGGGTTTGCAGGGCACCTGGCAGTGGGACTCTTTGAAGCCCGCAAGCTGGTCCAGGGCCATCTGCACCAGGCGGTTGGCAGGGCTGAGTGTCCCTAAAGCAGTTGCTCAGCTGCTTTTTAGCTCAGGTCTCGGATGTGAACGCTTCCCTTCAATAGAGGTGCTTCATCCAGGTCTTGGGTCTTTTATTTTTTTTTCTATTTTTTTTTCCCCCCATTCTTTTTCCTCTCCTCCACCAATAGGTGAGAGCATGAGCCAACTGGCGTTAGTTCAGTGATGCTGGGGGGGTCGGTGGCAGTGGCAGGCCAGTCAGGTCAGGCTGCAGCCTGCGATGGGGGATCACGCCCTGGCTGCAGCCGTGGGATTTCCTGGATTTGATCGCCTGGTCTGACACTTGTAAATTTTGTGAAAACTAAGCATTTTGTGCCTAAGTAGAAGTGGGGTTGGGTGGAGAAACATGAGACAGGTAGACCTGGTGCTGTCTGCGCTTAATGACTAATTAATTGCTACAAAGTAGAGTAGCTGCTGCAGGGACACTGATTCCTTCTAGATTCTCAGCAACATAATGGCTTGAGCCTAAGCTGGGAGTGAGTGTGAATGCCTCCTCCCAGCTGCATCTATTTGCACCCCAGAGTGCTTTGCTGAAATCAAACAGGCAGGAGGAGAGGAGTGGCTGGCAGGAGTGCGCTGCCACCAGAAGCCATGGGTTGGGCAAGACAGGTCCTGAAAGGTTGAGGGTCCAGCTGCGCCTCAGGCTGGGGCATGGCAGCATCGGGATCTCAGTGAAGCCTCAGTGTTGGGA